ATGAAAACAACCCCGCCAGCCCCGCCTCTCGGGCGGGAGGGAGGCGGAGCCACCGGCAGCGCAGCAGCCAATCAGGAGGCTCTTCAGAACGCTCAGCCAATCAGGAAGCTCTGTCACTCTCACAGTAAAGAGGTTTTTCCTGATATTCACATGGAACCTCCTGTGCTACAGTTTGCATCCATTGCACCTTGTCCTGTCACTGGTCATCACTGAGAAAGGTGTTTGTGGCCCACGTTCCTGGTGGAAAACCTTGCCTTTTAATTTACAGCAAGCAGGGGCTTTTTGAAACTGGTTTGCCCTGCAGAGCCCAGAGGATCCCTTGCCAGTAGGCATTGCTGAAGTTTTATCACTTGGAAACTGCAGGACATACATGAAAGCCATCTCTGCAATAATGCTGGAAAGTAACTCCGAAGTTCAGAACGACACGGTTATTTTGTGTAAGATGCGCTCTGTGTGTATCTATTTATACAAGTGAAAGTTGCGGTCAGAGGCACAGAACTGGTACCACGGGCAGCACTGAGCAAGGGCACCCTGCAATGACTAGGCCTTGATGAAGGCAATTAATCAAGGTGCTTAAAGAGTGTCTCATACAAAGCAGCAATTTGGCAGAGAAGACTTGAGGTCTGTACAGGTAGTTAGACCTAAGGAAGGCAGGAGGTGATAAAGAAGAACCAAAATCAAGAACACTGACAGCTAAACTGGTCTTGGGCACCTGCCTGGATGTGTTGCTGTGTGGCCTGTCCCAGGTGACCCTGCTCTGGCAGGGGGGATGGATTAGATGGTATCTAGAGGTCCCTTCTAACCCCTGACGTTTCATTATTCTGTGGTTCTGTGAAGCTGCAGAAGTTGTGAGATTGTGTCCTTTAGGTGAACGTGGTTCATTATAATGTCATTACTAAGAATCACACCCCTGGGTCAAAAAGACCCCTGCCCAGGTGAAGATCATTGCCCCGAGCATGCGTGATAGTAGAAGAAATGATGTGACTATATGTAAATTGTTAACCAATCACTATAAAGAGGACGGACTCGGAAGCTTACGAACTTTATAGTTTTGTGTATAAATATGTCATGGAAAATCTTGTTTGGTGTGCTTGATTTGTGGGAAGGCACCGAGCATCCAGGTTGATACAAACCTGCAAGAAGTGACAATGTCTCCTTCCTAAAGGTAGTCTCTTAGTGTTTTGGTGGCTGTCTTAAAACAGTAACAACAGGACCTGAGTTCACCTGTTGAACGACCTTCCTTACAGAAATAAATACTGAGATACACCTTATCCATCAGCTCATGCTCAGTCACCCAACGTAGATTTATATAAGGAAATATTTTTAACTGGAGTAGTACTGAGACTTGATTCCACTTTTCCTAAAACATCAGAGCTTTCCATTTTTCCATCTCACCGATGTGCCTACATTGTATACAGCAGTGTAGCACAGAGAAACCCAAATCAACTTTGTGTGACCCCCATCTGTATCCACGAGCCCCACAGTTTACAGCAGGCCAGGTGAATAATTTAGTTGGGGTGACTTCAGGAAGGAAAACACCGTGCATCCATTCCCTACCATGGAGCACTGTCCTGCTGCTGCGTACAAGCAGAACAACATCCTTTTCCCTCCGGTATTCCCCCCGCCTGCAAAGCATGCACAGTCTGGCTTTCCCTCCCACAACTGACACGCGGAGCCACCCTCTGCTTCCCTCTCCTGGCCATGCTCAGGAGAAACCCATGTTTTGTTACAGAATCATAGAATCGTTTTGGTTGGAAAAGGCCTTTGAGATCATCCAGTCCAGCTGTTAACTCAGCACTGCCAAGTCCACTAAACCATGTCCCTGGGTACCACATCTACACATCTTTTAAATACCTCCAGGGTTAGTGACCCCACCACTTCCCTGGGCAGCCTGACCCAGTGTTTAATAACCCTTTCAACAAATGCATTTTTCCTAACATCCAGCCTAAACCTCCCCTGGCACAACTTGAGCCCATTGCCTCTTGTTCTATCACTTGTTACTTGGGAGAAGAGACCACCCCCCACCTGGCTACCACCTCCTTTCAGGTGGTTGTAGAGAGCCATAAGGTCTCCCCTCAGCCTCCTTTTATCCAGGCTGAACAATCCTGGTCCCCTCAGCCGCTCCTCTTCAGGCTTGTTCTCAAGGCCCTTCACCAGCTTCGTTGCCCTTCTCTGGACATGCTCCAACACCTCCATGTCCTTCTTGTAGTGAGGGGCACAAAACTGAACGCAGCATTTGAGGTAGCTGAGCTTGCGAGTTGCAACTGCTCCAGCACCAAAGGCAGCACCAGCAGCCTTGTTCATGATGCAGGACAACTGGTATTTCAGGGAAAAGTGCTAAGGAAAATAATGGGAAAAAAAAATAAAAAGAAAAAAGGAGTGAGGTGAGAAGAGCCTGCATGAAAGGTTGTCTTTATGTACGTAGGGTCATACAACATACGTAGATGAAGAGCAGGAGTCGAATGTGTTGAAGGAAAAAAGAACTGCAGCCAGTCTGCAGGGGTGAAGAGAGAATTGAAGAAAGGGATGAAAATGGTCTAGAGGAAACGGCTTAGGAAAGAGAAGGGGAGGAGGAAGACAAACTGCAACAAATGCTTTTCATCAGAGATTTTGCTAGCTAAAGCAGAGACACGATAGCTTCCTCTTTTCTCTCCCCTCCAACATGCACATGCATACACTGAAATGGCTTGTTTCTCTTTATTTCTCTTTGTTTCCAAGCAGTCCTGCTCCCTGAGAACCTGGGAGGGGTGGGTGTCACTCTTTGCTTGCTGCAGGCAAAGGGATAGAGGGAGGTGAGGGGGATGAGAATGTCAATGATTTTACTGGGCAGCAGAAGAGCATGACAGGGAGCAGCCAGGAAGCAGCTGATGGGGGCAGCACAGGAAAGGAGACCTGTCATGGAAGGTACGTGGAAGGAACAACATGGGCCACAGGGTGAAGGGGAAAAAAAAAAAAAAAAGGGTGAAAAGAAGATAAAGGGGAAGCGGGAAGCAGAGCTGGCAATTCTTTTTTCTTTCAGCAAACGAAAATGCAGAACGGGGGGGGGGGGGGGGAGGGAAGCTTTTCTGTTTCTCGGTTTAAATTTATTAGCAGCGTGGAGTTGCTGAACGTGGCCAGCCCACCTTTGCCAGGAAAGGTGCGAGTTGCCGGAGCTGCGCAGCTCCTGTGGCAGGAGAGTCCAAAGGGACCCGGTGGAGAGGGTGGAAAAGTCATACCCCAGTCCCCCTGCCACCGCTGGGACTGCGCGGCGGGGTCTCAGGGCACTGGAGAAAACGACCCGTCCAAGCGAAGCCCGCCCGGTTCCCCCGCTACCGGCACCGCCGCCCCTGCAGCCGCCAAGCGGTGCTGCTGCCCCGGCCCGGCCGCCCGCAGCACCTCCCGTCCTCGGTCTGGTGGGAGTTCGGGCTCGGCAGGGTTTATGGAAGCACACAGCGCTGGCTCTCTGCCCCGGAGAGCAGGATTCATTGGGCTGAGCAGGCTCTGCAGCGCACACCGGTGCACGTCGCGCTGGGTGAGGGGGGCTTGTTTTGCTCCCCCCTTCCTCGGAGGGGTAGCGTGGGGCGGAGCTTTGGGGTGAGGAGTAAGGTCTTTCTTTAACTCTTTTAGGTTGCTCTGAAAGGACGTGTTACTTGAAATAAATCTCCAGGCTCTCTCACTTCCTCGGCTGGATCTTGGAGAAAGAAGAAGGATTCTCTCTGTTGTGGTGCAATGTGTGTAGGGGCTCCCAGCATCCTTGCACAACAGGGTCGAGAATGTATTGCTGGCCACCAGTTCTCCTTTTCAGCTCATGTGCTTATTTACAGTACAAAGCCAGTAAATAGTAACAGCTCACCATGGATTGAAGCAGTTTACTCCCTCCAGGGGTTGGCCAGTTCACGGAACAGTCTTAGTTTCTGTGTGGTTCAGAAGCTGAATGTGGGGGCTGGAAAAGTCTCTGGTATCTCTGGAAAACGTGTATTTTAACCAGGAAGTGAGCAAGGTCTCCCTCCTGGCGAGTGTATTATCATGCTCTGTCTGCCTTCTTCCTAGATGGTTTTGCCCTGAGCTAGCTCTCTCTTTAGATAGCACGGTTGTTGGATGGGGTGGGCATGGTTTCTCTTCAGACACACGGTCTAGCTACATGACGGGCCAGGCTTCCTGTCTGGGTCTTGCAGTCTGTCCATGAACAGAAACCTTTCTTTGTCCAGATAATGCTTGTGGGCTGTGAAGTCTTGCTGTGTGTAAGCACTTGATTTCTGAGCCAGCCAGCTCTCCACATCCAAATGACAGCCAGGGTGATTAAAGTCACTTGCTGCTGTGTTTGACAGAAGCGACTGACCTGTGAGTCAGCTCTGGCAAAAGCTGAAGTACCCAGTGCTTTGAAGTGCCAACACTCCATGCCACATGAGATCCACCATGCAAATTGTTTCTAAAAATGCTGGTTAGATAGCCCCTTGAGGAGGAATCAGCCCTGCTGAGCAATGCAGTGCTACTATTGGGAAATGGCACACAACACAGCTGAACATGAAAAGGTGTTGTGTGCTTGTGCATAATGCATTTACTTCTTCTCATGCTCAGAGTTCCCAAAATAACTTGCTTTGGAATTCAGCTTCTGCCCCTTTCAACTCTGCATTTCTTAAAAGACAGATAAAATTAATATAGTGCAAGCCTAACACGGTATTTTTACCAGGCACCTACCTTTTCAACAGCCACCACACACACAGTGGCCATGCAAGCTTCCTCTGTGCAAAACCTGTTTTGTCAGAAAATCTTGCTGTTCAGTGCGTGCTCAGGCTGCATGCTGAGAGTCATGCCCTGTTGTGAGGGCCAGCTGTGACATTGCTTTCTAGGATGCTGAGAGATGGGCAGTATGACTGGCCAGAGAACAATGTAATAAAAACCAAGATTGTACCCAGCACAAATACCTGCAACTGTGTCAGCACCCATGTTCTGAATGTGGAGTCACAGAATGGTTAAGCTTGGAAGGGACCTTAAAGATCATCAGGTTCCAACCCCCCTGCCATGAGCAGGGACACTCACACTAGACCAGGCTGCACAAAACCTCATCCAACCTGGCCTTAAACACCTTCAGGAGGGGGCTTCCACAACCTCCCTGGGCAACCTTACTACTACCTTCAGCACCTTACTACCCTTACAGTGGAAAATTTCTTCCTAATATCTAACCTAAATCTCCCTTCTTCCAGTTTAAAACCATTACCCTTGTCCTATCATTGCCCTCTGTGGTGAAAAGCCCCTCCCCAGCTTTCCTGTAGCCCCTCTCAAGTACTGGAAGGCTGCTAGAAGGTCTCCCCAGAGCCTTCACTTCTCCAGGCTGAACAGCCCCAACTCTCTCAGCCTGTCTTTGTAGTGGAGATGCTCTGGCCCTCAGATCATCTTCATGACCCTTCTCTGGACCCTTTTCTACAGGTCCATGTCTTTCCTGTGCTGAGGGCTCCAGAGCTACATGCAGTATTCCAGGCGTGGTCTCTCTCTTTAGCTTTTTGTTTGTTTATATTAAGCCTTGTTGTGTATTAAAGCTAGCAACAGGTTTAAGTCTAGAAGCAAGCTGTTAGTGACTGTCACTGATAACATTTGTTCCATCTCTATATTAATGTAATGGGATGTAGCCATGCCTTTTATTACCCCAACTCAGTTTGTTTTCTGAAGTCAGGTGCATCAGCAGCCAAAGAGGAGTTCTCTAAAGAAATTCCAGTACTGCAAGAAATGGCACCAGTTAGTTACCTGTACACCCCCTACCAGCCCTGGGTTACCTGGTATGAGTGAGGGTGGTCTACCTCAGTGTGATCTTGACACTTCACGCAGAGACACTTAGGCAAAGTGTTGCAGATTGAATGACCCCTGAACTATACAGCATTTTCCTAACTTTAGTCTCCTTAGGGACAGGCTTTTGCCCAGAGCCTGGGAACTGAGAAACCTGGTTCATCTGAGCCATGATGTCAGCACTCAGACACAGCTGACCGTCAGGAACACGTGAAATGACTCAATCCTTCAGTTAGTCCCCAACACCTGCTTTTTCACGTGGCCACCCCGCACCGCACACCGCCGCGCGGTCCCTGCCCGACGCGGCCGAGTGAGAACCACTCGTTAGCTGTGGCCTTGCGTTTGACTGCAGCGTCTTCGGGAACGGGACTTCCCCACCCACATCAGCTCCCAAGGGTGCACGTTGCCTGGCACACCGGTCTGTGCGCACACGCGTGGCACGTGAGCCTGCGTGTGTGTGCGTGTGTGTGTGTGTGCGCGCGCTCAGACGTGCTTCGCTGCAGCTGCGGAACCGGAGAGAGAAACGCCGATGGTTCAAGGCGTTCCAG